ATAATTGGAGAAAACCGAACCAAAGAAACAAATAAAAGAGTGTTTTATTAAAGACAATAAATTACATTCCCTTGAAATCGAGCAGATTGTGAGCAGAGTCCCTGGCTTTGCAGGACAGACCCTCACCCCCACCCTCAGTGACCTCCGTGGGGCTTGGGGGGGGGAAATTTGGATATTGGGGGTGTCAGAGCCCTGAGGAGCAGAGCAGGGGGAGGTATCGCTGTTGGCAGCCCCCGAAGGCGACTGATTCCTGCTCATCCTTTTTTTTAGGAGCCTGCACAATCCATTAGTCCCCCGCTGAGCACTGGCCACACCTCATGACACAAATGACGCAGGCAGCAGTACCCACCAAGCTCCCGGGCAGGTTTAGGAAACCAAAGCCAGGCCAGCGATGCCCCAGCAGCACAAGGTCGGGGGGGGTCCACCGAGCAGTGGGGGCCGGGTGAGAGGTAGTTTTTGGGTGAGAAAGGCACAGGGAGCACCCCCCCCCCCCCAACCCCTCCACCCGCCGCCGTCACCAACCCCCATTTTGTTGGTTCCCCCAGAAGAATTGAGGTGGGTGGAAGAAACATCCAGCTGGAAAAAGCAGGAGACATCGGGGTGGGGGCTGGTAGGGGGGGGAATATTCCACCGGATCCTGGTGCCAGGATAAAAATATCCAGCCCCGTGGCAGCCAGGAGGGAATTAGAGTGGAATAAACCCGCCGGCCCCGGCGGCAGACGGTCAAGGCAGGGCTGGCGGGGGGACTCCACCAGCCCCCCAAGAGAGGGGGTAGGTGGCCCCGTGGAGCTCCCCGGGGAGGGGAGCCCCCCCCCAGCTCCCGGGTCCCCCCCGAGGTGGTTGGGGGCTGAAAAAGCATCGTCTTTCCCTCCATCCCACCTCACGGCATCTCTCCAGGGTCAGCAGCAGCATCCCGCTGGCCGGCTCCCGGGCATCACTGCAAGGTACAGGCTGTGCCGGGGGAGGGGGGGACAGGGGGGAGCACTCACTGGGCTGCCACACACGTCACCCACCCCCAAAGACCCCCACGCCGGGGTGGGGGGGGACAGGAATATCTGCAGCAACCAGAGGGATACTCCCCATCCCAGGGATAGTCCCCATCCGAGGGATATTCCCCATCCTAGGGATATTCCCCACCCTGGGACCCCCACAAGGCGGGGGGG